CAAGAGAACATAGTTTCTTGACGGGTTTGTGACATTTCATAACCGTCACGAAATATTAAATATTGACGGGTAATAAGCATCAAGAAAGGGTGGTAACTTTTGCTAACACAGATATTCCTGACGCTTTTTGAGCCGTCAAGAAATGGCTAACGATGCTTTATAAGGGTCAACAAAGGGTGTTTTTCTTGTAGTGCTATGGTGTAGTATGTTGTGTTTTCTTTTGGGGGCAGAATGGTGCAGGTATGTTGTATGCATAGGGTTTGTTGGCCTGATATTAATAGGAAAACAGAATGACTAAAAGAAACAAGGAATCCTAATTAACCACCATATGTAATTTGGGTAACTTAGTATCCCTTCATGCTTAGCGGATTTGATCTTTTCTAAAATCCTTTGAACAATTCACAGAATGACTAAAAGAAAAAAGGAATCCTTTCATGCTTATACAAGACAACAGAAAATAAACCAAATATATTAACTTTTAAACCGTCAAATTCATAGAAACTGATTAAAGCGATATTAATTATTTTAACCTTGACCATTTACCTCGTTTTATCTGAAGGGAAAGCAAAAGTAATGGTAAAGCAAGAAGTTGAACAACCGACTTAAGTGGCTGCAAATTACTGTTGACGGAACAATTAAAAAAATAAAATTTTAATCATAACAATTCTCATAAAAATTATAACAATCACATATGATAATTAACTTACATAGAATTTATGCAAAACTTTCTTCCTGTATGTAAATTGTAATGCAGCAGATTTTCTGTGAGCAAATACTTTTGGCACATGTATATTATATCCATCAATCTCATTTTAAGGGGACAATGCTATCACTATAAACTAACTGAATTAATGGTCTTCCGTGGGGATTTGCCATAAACCCAGGCCAAACAAAATCAAATATTCTATATCGTTTGCTCTTCATATTATAAAGATGTAATTGGAGTGGAGAGTCGGCAGCTTCCAGCATTATGGCTAGCTCACCTGTGTGGATTGTGCCCAAAACTTCACCGCGAATTCTTTTTTGGGCTTCTCCAATATAGGTCCCTACAATTTCTATTTCATAGACATATACCCATCATTCTATAAATCTATGTGTCAAACCTAATTTCAAACTTAAATGACCAGTAAGATATAAGAGGTCATAGTATTCCTATGTTTTTACATCCTTGCCATTAGACTTCATATTTTATTTATAATTTATTCCAAGCATTTCATTAACTGCCATAATTGTAATTAAAACTCCCTATTAATAGCATATCAATCACCCCATTTCTTTTGGTTGCCATTCCCTCTAACATATGTCCCCTTAAAATTGCAAATAAAAAAAATATGTAAATTACATATCCAATAATGTACATATGAAAAATATAAATATAAATATATACGTATAAAAATATAGGTATATTATTTACCAAAAAAAAATTAACAAAAATAGGTCAATTACTTTGTAATTGAAATTTCCGTACATTCTCATAAATCCAAAATAGGTACATAATAATTTATAGAAAATAGGTACGTTGTATAATTGAAATTTATGCACATTTTTTATAAATTAAAAATAAGTACATTATTTAGAAGAAAAAAATAGGTTCATTATACTAGGTAAATTGTTTTAGTAGTTATACATTATTAGAGAAAAAAAAGGTACATTGTTTAGAGAAAAAAATAGGTTCATTATACTAGATAAATTGTTTTACTAGGTACATTATTTTGAGATAGAAAATAGGTACATTATTTTGAGAGAAACAATAGGTACATTATTTTGAGAGAAAAATAGGTGCATTATTTTGAAAGAAAAGTAGGTACATTAGTTTTAGAGAAAAATAGGTACATCATTTTGAGAGAAAAAATAGGTACATTATTTTGAGAGAAAAAATAGGCTCATTTAAAAAAAAAATTGTTTTCATAAAACAAACAATAAAAGATGATCAAATTATTTTTCATAAAACAAGTAATAAAGAAAAAAAAAGGTACAATATTTGGAGAAAAAATAGGTTCATTAAAAAAAATGTTTTAAAAACAAAACAATAAATAGATTATCAAATTATTTTTCAACATAATTAGAATGTACTATTATTCATAAAACTATAATAAAAAAGAATATTGGTCGTATAATTCATAAAAAGAAAACAACATTAATTCCTAAATTCAATATTGAATTTAAATTATTAATACTTTAAATAGATTACTAGTCCTAATTCATAGAAGGAAAACACCATTAATTCAAAAATAGATTGCTAGTCGTAAAATAGATTACTAATACTTTAATGTGGAATTTAATATTTAATTTCAAATAAGTTTCTAAATTAGTTCCTACATCCATTACAATTGGAGACATTTCCAAATTCAACGGATGTCATTAGTTACACCCTCCATAACCCATTAACTTATAAATGGGGATAGTTTTGGAATTCGAAAAATATAATAAATCAAATTTTAAGTTATATTAGGTAACTTGCTTAGTTGGATCCTGGTCGTCGGATATTATTTGAAAAAATTGGGTATTTTAAATATAAAACTAAAGGAAAGGGTTGTAGGTGATTTAAAATGAATTTTATGGGTCTAAGCTCAATTTACTATAGAAAATATACTGACTTGTTGAGGCCTTGATTGTCGCATGCCAAGATGGCAAGCAATATTATTTAAGAAATAAAGAGAAAAAAACAAGATTTGTATCGGTTGACAACTTACAAAATGAAGTTTAATTTCTAAAGGTGGATTATAAAATCGATATTAGGAACAAAAGAAGGAAAGACAGACAACAGACTTCTTCATCTTACTTTGCATCTTACTTTGCATCTTGCAGTATAGAAATATAATATAAGCAAGGGGGAAATAGAAGTACCACAGGTTGCAGAATCCGATCCATCCCCAAGAATAAATCCATCATGCCGCACCTCTCTGAAGACAGATGTGAGAGCAGCCCATTCGCATGCAGCAAATCATAGGTTCCAGGATATGTAGGGAACGGTTCACACCTGACCCAACAGATAGATCACAACTATGACTACCTCAAAAATTAAATTGCAGTCAACATAGACTTGCAGGCACACATGTATAGAAAGGGAAAGAAAATAGGATATAAAGAGCACAAATGAGTCCTAGCTTTTTTAAATTCAAATTTTTTCAACCATAGTTAGAGTCAGTCATTCTCAAATTTTTTTTGCCTTCCAAAAAACACAGTGCGTCTGAGCTACACTGAAAGAAGCTTCAAATATCAAGTTAGCCAGCAGAGTTTCTGAAGGAACTGAAACCAGCGACTTACCAGTCATGCAAAACACCAGCAAAACCTTGATCTAGTATGAGAGGAAGTGTATAGGGAGCATTGACAGGCACGACATTCATCACCCAAACTGATTTTCTTTCCTCCAGAAAAGTAGCATTTAAACCCCCATAGTGAGCATTCATATCCATCACATTGCGTATCATGTTTAATGGAGATAATGGGTCTTCATCACCTGGTCTCTTCGGATGGTCAGAGAAAATCAAGGGTGTAAGCAAAGACCAATAGTTTTTCAGAGTTGATCTCCAAATCTGTAAGTCCTCAAAGAAATAGTCAGGCTGAACTCCTGCAAAAATAAAAGGGTATAATAAATTTTCCCATATGTATTTAATACACTCTGGCCTCTTTGAAATCTAACAGTACCCCTGCCCTAGAAAGTAACAGCAGATAATCATAACTGTAACTCACAAAGAAGGCTTACACCGGCTTGAAGAAATTGAGAATCATTATTTAAACCTAGCATCTTCACAATTTGAAGAGAATAATCCTCGACAACATCAAAAATCAAACCATCCTCAGAGTGAAAGGCAATTTGATTTTCTTCTAGTAACATCAACCTGAATAAATTGTAAAGCAGTTAAAGAATGACTCTGCACAGAAATAAGTATTCACACACAAACGAAAAGAAAAGAAAACACTGAAACTAATACAATTTGCATAGAGTCGAGAAATTTAAATGTTTTAATCACTGGTGCAGATAAAAGATCAGCATTATTTAAAAGCTGTTAAATATATAGCTTCAACAGGGAAGCACCTTTTGGTCATGCTCCCAGACGAAAGAAATTGGTCTTTGGTTATCTTCACGTTTCCACTCCATATCACATCCCTACCAGCTGGCCACCTCCGGGGAATCTTATAGTCCTTAGGAGGGCGAACTGGACACCATTCTCTGTTTCTTGATACTTCACAATGCCAATCAAACTCCTCCCTATCTTTAAACCCCACAAAAAGGTTTGCTGAAACATTGTAACACGGCACATAATTTTCTTTCTCTGCCACAGAGGCCAAGCTCCCTTTGTTGACTAGCCCCTAGTGCGAGAGACCTCAGCTCCAGATCGCAGCTTGCTACTTTAGCCTCCTATAGTTTGTATAGATGTCGGGTACTGAAGTAGGAGTTAGAGAGTCAAATGTATTTGAAGAGGATGATCCCAACACTGGAATTAGTGCAAGAACACTAACGAGGCACAAGAGCAGCCAATTGAGTGGCGGTCTAGGGCCAAAAATGAGAGGGAGTTTATTGGACCAGGAGCTTCTCATGTCCGAATCATGCAACCCCGACTTAAGAATTCCAAAATAACCCAACTAAATCATCAACTCCTTCAGCTTAAATCTCCAACAATAGCGAAAACCATAACCAATAATAACATACAAGCTTCTATATATATATATATATTTGCATAAGTCCGGATGATTCCTACAAGCATTGATAGAATAAACTCAACTTCTTCCAAAATAACACCTGCAAATCTTCACTTTTTGATTGTGCCATCAGAAAAAAAAGGTCAGATCACAACCCAACACAATTCAGTACGAATCAGCACATTTTGAAACTTGGCATAACCAATTATTGCCAAATTCGGAAAGAAACAGGACTAGGACAACTTGACAAGTGTTCAGCCAAGACCAACCTGCAGCAAAAACCAAAGATCCACCAAATCAATCCATCACAATAATTGTCCCAAAGAAAAAGTCCCCAATTGGTTGTTGAGAAAACTACAAGTGAATCTTACAACAGATTCCACTGACAAGATTCCAAATTCCATTTTCATTTTCCACTCTTCCCAGCAACCAAACAGAGCACGATAAGCCCAAAATAAATGCATCACTTTCATTTTTTAGATATCAGTGAGCCAAATTCCAGATCCTGAATTGGAAAACAAAAATTTCAACTCAGATCCAATCAAAAGCAAAAGGAACCACTACCATCCCATAAATAATCAAAAAGCAGTAAATCTAGATTGCTTTGAATTTAATAACAGGAAAAAGAAACTCATCCTCATAACTGACAATTAGGGTTTTGGGAATGCTCCAGGCTCGAATTTACCAATTTCCTTGGGCCACTTTCTTTGGCCATCCAAAGACCTCCAACCTCCAAGCCAGAAAAAGTCTTCAAATTATCCTCCAGCATACCTTCCCCCAACAGGGTTTGCAGCTGCAATGACAGAGCAGCGTGCTTGGAGAGAAATGACAATCCCAGCTCTTGATTTGATATGCTAATACTTTGTTCTTCCATTGCTTCATGAATACCCACCCTGACTGCAGATGAAAATGTAAATGCTCAAAGACTCAAAATAAGTTGGAAAGGGGGGAGGGGGGCTGTCAGTTTCATAATTGCAAAATTTACATATATACTAGTATTGTCATAAATATCCTGATCATTCATTTTGTCAAATTCATCAATAAGGCATATTCCCTTGTCAGCAAGAACAAGAGCTCGTCCTTCAAGGTTCCACTCCCTTGTAACAGGATCCTTGTGCACAGCAGCTGTGAGTCCCACAGCAGATGCTCCTTTACCAGTAGTATACACAGCTCTCTGCCCAGTCTTTTTAACATACCTTGTGAGACAGAAAATTGATTCACTTTTAACTGATGGCAGTAGCTGTTACTTAATAAACTGTGACTTTGCCGTGCCAGGATCACCTAGGAGAAGGACATGTATATCCCCTCGGAGTCGGTGTTTTCCCTCGACATTTTTCTCTTGGCCTCCAAACATGGCAAGAGCTATTGCAGTCTTTATGTCCTCATGGCCATAGACTGATGGCGCAAAGGACTTGATAATCTGCGTTCAAAGAACATATAGGTATTTCATGATAATACAAGAGATACTTAATTGAGAAAGATACAAGGGTTTGGTAGCAACCCTTTCTCCTATTCTTGGGTGTTTAGACAACTTTTCGATCTCTTCTCTATCTCCCCAGCTTTATTAAGTAGCTTCTTTGCCATCGGATCATAACTCTGCAGATACATAAGATAAAATGTTAACATCACATCAAACTTGAATCCTCTTGAAACTCTGAACTTTTGATATTGAAAAAGGAATGAATACAGACAAACAAACATAACAAATTTTGAATGAAAATAACCAAAAATGGCTTCGTGTAGACTAGTAGTAGGGTCTAATGCAAAGTAACCAACCACAGCTACGAAATTCAAAACAAGAACGTCTCATGTCCTCATAATCTGATCAAACATTAGAAATAATGAATGATAGTCAACAAACAAGCAAATCCACATGTTTAGGTAGCAAAGCCAACATAATATCATAGATTAGGCATTGATAAATGATACTGCCAACCAAAATTGAAGCTCCTATTCTACTGAATTATTGATATTCAAAGAGGGATATTATAAAGAAACAAACAAACAAACAAATACTTCATCTACTATAAGGGATAATCTAATGCAGAGTAAGCAACCACATGAATCTATCAATTTCAAGACAAAATGTCGATGCGCTCATGACATTAAACCTAAGAAAATAGTTTGTTATAATCTACAAACAACCACTATATGAAGAAAAAAAGCATGAATTAATAGCAGCAGCCTGAATTAAAAGAATCATTGATTACAACGGACCAATATAATCATACATACATACATACATACCCATAGTAACGAACGATCCTTGATATTTTGCCTTGACAACTCCCCAGTGATGGGCATCTAGTGCCTATAAGCACACTCAGCACACCTCTGTTGCACTGGCCACGAACTTACTAGAAACTGCAATACCGGCGCTCGGTTCCTTTAGTAATACGGTGTTGTTCGCTGAATCTTGCGAATGGTACTGGGCGCCGACTTCCCGTACGAACACTCGTATGAAAAGCATGAATTAAAAAAAAAAATTGAATATCAAGATTGAAATAGACAGATCAGAATGCTTTCCCCCCCTCTTCTTCTGTTATATAAACAAACCCAAACCAAACCCAAGGAAAATCGTGCCTCATTTTCATTTTCAAATCTGCCACTGCCTCTCTCTTTCTCCCTCATCTCTCTCCTCCTGCAATTAGCTCTTAATCAATGACAATGAATGCGATCACGAAGGTGACGCCACAGCTGGTGGTGGCGCCAACTACTGCTATGGAAGCCGTTCACTTGCAAATTTTCGGTGCTCGAAGGGACGGATCCACAGAGGAGCAAGGGTGGAATCGGCCATTAGAGTGGAAGAAATTGACCCTCGCAAGGTGTTTGATGAAAGTCCCCAGAGGGGCGCGCCGCGCTCAGCATGTTCTCCTGGGCTCCAGCGCGCAGCGTTGCATGCGAGCAGCAGGCTCCAGCGCACATCCTTTTTTTTTTTGGGGTATCCCTCGACGTCAAAACGACGTCGTTCTACTAAAGCTTTCTTTAAAAATTTAAAAAATTCCAAAACAACGTCGTTTTGAAGCAAAGTCATTTTAAAAAACAAAAAGGTTTTCCTAGCCGATGATCACATTCACACCCCAAAACCCCCCAATTTCTATTATTCTCTCCTCAAACCCTAACCCCAAATTCCCTAGCCGATAATCACATCCCAAAACCCCCCCAATTTACGTTAATGGATCAAAAGGTTCGGAGCCTCATTTATATGGATTGTGGGCTGGATGTACTTTCCCAGGTTTTCATTATCTTCCCTCTCCATCTCTGATTTTAATCTTTTGGGTCATTATATACAGGTGTTTTTTGTGTTTCTAGGAGGTGGAGATTTGTGATTGTAGCTGGTGTCGCCGCCGCCTATTGGTGTGAAAAAGCTCATAATATTCAAGTAATTTTTAAACTCTAAATCCGTAATTGATGATAATGCCTAATATTTTTAATTTGTTGAAATTTTTATAATGATTTATTTGATGAATATTGATGATTTTGTGTGTGGATAATGATATATTGGATTGGATGAATATTGATGTTTTTTGTTGATTAGTTGTTGAGGGTTTTTTTGTGTTTTTTTCCCAAGGAGGTTTTATTTTGGTTAGTTACTGTTAGTTTGAATAAATTAAGGTTTTTTTGATTGAAAATTTGTATGGTCTATTTTGTACATAAATTTTTTTAACCTTTAAACGTTAACTTCTGGAAGGAAAATTCCTGTATCCGTCTCGAATCTGAAAGCTTTAATGGAGAAGACTGAGTTCGAAATTGTGGAAAACATAGCCGAGGAAACGTGCCGTCCCGGAGTGCTCGTTGGGAAGATCAAGGACCGATTCGGTCATATTTGGGAATTCAGCAGCTCGGCTGGTAAGACATCCGATAGGAAAATTGAGTCCTCTCTTGTTAACTATATTTGTTATTTTTTGAGATATTTTGTATCTTTTTGCATCTGTTTCAGTTTTGCTTTTGTTTAATCCACTTTCTTAATTCCTTTTTAATTCTTACTTTATAATATGAGTGCACCGTAACTTATTTGTAAGTTTGTTTTATTAATTCTGATAAACATATTATTTCATATTCTTAATTAATTTTTAATTTTCTTTTTGTTTTTTTTATAAGCTGCTTTTATCATTTTGATAATAGAAAAAAAAAACTATTTTATTTAATCAATCGTTTATTTTATTTTAAATTATCTTTTTGAGAAGGTATATCCGATTGTGGTTTTACGGATAAGGTGAGAATGACGGTGTTGCTCTGCAATTAAACATCTCAAGTTTGACCCTTTTATCCTCGATCTGGATGTGTGTGGCATGTTTTGGGTAATTTAAATTAATTTTCATGATAATTATTTATTGCTTGGTAAATTATTCTCTCCACTGTAGCCGGAGACACATGGCGGTACATCCTTCTTCATTCTTGCAGTGATAATCCATACAAAAACGAATTCATAACTAATTTAAAGAATCGAATAGAAATTATTACAAGAAATGAACAGAGAAATTACTCACTGATAGTTCTTGTTTGTGATGATGAATTTGTCTGATCCAACCTCCACTTCAGCGCACACAAATGTTGTGGCTCGAATTTGTTGTACCGAATCAACCTAGCACCAAAAAGATCTTCATAGAATTGAACCACTCACATACCACTAGTTGGGGCCATCACCCGTTGTGGGGTCAGGTCTGTGATGGTTACTGAAGCTTCATGTTCGACCTCAATATTCTTGCGGCTTTTCGTAATCTCCTTTTTCTTCTCCTCCTCCTTGTGTTTCTGTTCCTCTTTGTTATCCTTCTTCTTCAATGTATGAAGTAAAATATCTCTCACATTGTAATAATTTAGTGGCTTAATAATGTACAGGATATTACCTTCTACGGCTCCCCCAAAATCTAAAATCACATATGGTGAAGTATGCCAGCTAACGAGCCTCACTATTGTGCCTCGGAAGTTATGGAAATAGCGGACTTCCCTGGCTGTATTCAACGTTCCTTCATATCGTAGGAGATATTCTTGCAACACTACGATATGAAGGAATGTTGAATATAGTCAGGGAAGTCCGTTATTCTCATAACTTCCGAGGCACAATAGTGGGCCTCGTTAGCTGGTATACTTCACTGGAGGCGATGTTAGATTTTGGGGGAGCCGCTGGAGGTAATATCCTGTACATTATTAAGCCACTAGATTATTACAATGTGAGGGATATTTTACTTCATACATTGAAGAAGAAGGATAACAAAGAGGAACAGAAACACCAGGAAGGAAAAGAAAAAGGCGAGTACGAAAAGCCGCAAGAGTGTTGAGGTCGAGCATGAGGCTTCAATAACCATCACAAACCTGACCCCACGACTGGTGGTGGCCCCAACCAGTGGTATGTGGGTGGTTCAATTCTATGAAGATCTTTTTGGTGCTAGGTGGATTCGGTACAACGAATTCGAGCCACAACATTTGTGTGTGCTGAAGTGGAGGTTGAATCAAACAGTTTCGTCATCACAAATAAGGACTATGAGTGACTAATTTCTCTGTTCGTTTCTTACAATAATTTCTATTTGGTTCTTTAAATTAATTATGAATTTGTTTTTGTACGGATGATCGCTGCTGCGTTTGTCTCCGGTAGGCCCAGAATATGGAATGCCATGAAAAACTGGCGTGCTCGTTGCTTGAGGACATATTTGGGAACTCGCAGCTCGGTTGGTAAGAAATCCGATCCGTCCTCTCCTATGTTGTTTATTTTCTCTTTGTTTCTTTTTCAATCAATTCTTTCTTATATACACGCTTTCTTTTCCGATATCTTTTGGTTTAATCTACTTAATTCTTTGACAAAAACATCTGCTTCTTAATTCTTTTTTTAATTATATATACTTTTTAAATTTAATGGATTTCTTTTGTTACTAATTTTGATAAAGAAAAAAGACTATGGATTTCAATTATTGTTAATTTATTTTGAAATGTTGGTTTTGATATCATATGGTGGTTTTATGGACGAGGAAAGTATGAATATGTTGTTGATTGCGGAGCCGAAGCATAAACATCGGTGGAACTCTGGCTACCACTTTGAGAGTTTTCCTGGAACGCCAAGGGGGGTGGCTTCATTGAAAACTAAGCTAACGGCTGAAGATGGTTTTAATCACATTCACCAGTCTACAAATCGACATTCTCACTTTAACCCTTTTGTGCTTGGTCTGGAAGATACGATATTGGAATTGGGTTTTAATTCCAATACCTTTTGATTGTAAATACGTTTAATCAACAGTTTGATTGCATTGAATTGGAGATATGCCCAAACCACATGAATGATAATATTGTGTTTAAAATTTGAAGTAGAAGAACATCACACACATCAGATACCCATGAATACAGAAAGAACAACAGAATTTTCATTTGCCCATTTTTTTTTATTACACTAAACTAAGAGAATTAACAAATTCAGAAGATATTCCGCTAAAGATAAGGACAAACTCAGGCACTGTATTATGGATCCTATTACAAAATAAAATAAGACAGAGACAACATAAGCCCCAAGTCTAAGAACAGGGGAATAATAAGAAATTATATAGGAAAAATAAAAGGAAGGACAAGCATACTTCCACTAATGGTAACAAACTTCAGTACTAACTGAACTCACCAGGGGATCTTCACATACATCATGATTCTGTGCTTCTCACCTCAGTCAAGTCTTTATGCCACAGCAGGCATGTCCTTGAGCCACTCATCCAGGGGCTTTCCAATTGAATAAACAATAAACCCAATTTGCCTCAGCTTCTCCGCATCCACGACGTTCCGTCCATCAAACACAAATGCAGGTTTTTGCATCTGATCATAAATTTTCTTGTAATCAAGACTCTTAAATTCATCCCATTCGGTCAGGATGCAAATCCCATGAGCACCCTTTGTTGCCTCATAAGCATCCCAGACTACACCAACTTGCTTAACAGCAGTGGGGCTCTGAGGTTGAAGATGAATAGGATGGTCCCAATCAAACTTCTTCATAGAAAGATCCCTCTGGATCTGATCCTCACTCACCTGTGGGTCATATATGCTCAATCGGGCCTTGTCACCCAACAGCCCTTTGCACACGTCAATGGCTGGGGTCTCCCTAGTGTCACCGGTGTCCTTCTTGAAGGCAAATCCCAGAATTGCAACCTTCTTGCCTGATACTGTGTTGAACATTGAGGAAACTACTCGGTTCACAAAGCGGGACTTCTGGTAATCATTGATCTTAATGACCTGTTTCCAGTAATTTGCTACCTCAGGAAGGCCATTACACTCACAGATGTATACCAAGTTCAAGATGTCCTTCTGGAAGCAAGACCCACCAAAACCAACGCTGGCGTTCAAAAACTTAGGCCCAATTCTTGTGTCCTTGCCAACAGCATGTGCCACTTCAGTGACATTTGCACCAGTTGCCTCACAGAGTGCTGAAATGGCATTAACAGAAGATATCCTCTGTGCCAAGAAGGCGTTGGCAGCAAGCTTTGAAAGCTCAGCAGACCACAGGTTAGAGCAAATGATTCGTTCTTCAGGGACCCAATGGGCATAAACCTCCTTGAGTGCTTGAATTGCCTTTTGACCTGCTGGAGTTTCCCTACCTCCAATGAGGACCCGGTCTGGACTGAAAAGATCTTCGATTGCAGTTCCCTCAGCAAGGAATTCAGGATTGGAAAGAATTTGGAAGTTGATGCCTTTGCTGTTGTGAGTCAGAATCTTTTCAATGGCCTCAGCTGTTTTGACTGGGACTGTTGATTTCTCAACCACAATTTTGTCAGACTTTGATACATCTGCAATCATACGAGCAGCACTCTCCCAATAGGTAAGATCAGCTGCTTTGCCAGCTCCAAGACCCTGGGTTTTGGTAGGTGTGTTTACAGAAACAAAGACAATATCTGCCTCCATAACATGTCTTTCAACATCTGTACTGAAGAATAGGTTCTTTCCCCTGCGCTGCTTCACCACATCATCAAGGCCTGGCTCATATATGGGGAGCTGATCGCTATTCCAGGCATTGATCCGTGACACAGAAATGTCAACAACTGCTACTTCAATATCAGGGCACTTGAGTGCAATCACAGCCATAGTAGGTCCACCCACATATCCAGCTCCAATGCAGCAGATCTTCACCATCTTGATCTGTTATTGACAACCTGAATCAATAAAATGGGATAAGCTACAGTATTTTCAAGCACTAAAATGGTAAATCACTGCGTCACTGTCAAATTATTACAGATTTTGAAAGACAAAATGCTTCTGACCAGCCTTTCATTTTTCTTACAATAACGAAAATAAATACAACCAGCCACAACCTCTGCACTATGACAGAACTAACCAAAACAAAACAAAATGAATTGACAAACCAAAAAACAAATCTAGGAGAAAGCAGTATGACATCTAAACATATCTATCTAGGAGATAAATTGGTCAGCCAAGGGGAACGAAACAAAAATAAAAGAAAAAGATTAATTGGGAACCAAGGGCCAGGTCAGCTAGTTGATTAATACAAAACTAATGAATAAAGGTATCTACTACCGACAACCATACGGTCCCATATGCTTAAAACTATCTCCATTTCAAAGCATAATATTGATTCATACGGCTAGCATGAATTCAGTTTTGAGTGGTAACCAAAACAGAGCATCATATCGAAGTGAGAGAGAGGAACATACAAGATCTATACGTTCACTCGAGAAAATTGCCCTACAATTTCCAGATCCACAGTATTTTAGTGGAAATGAGAGAAATTTATCAAACAGTTGGACGAATGCTTTCAAATTTAAGCAAAATAATCACGTTGTCCACAACCCAAAAGGCAAATATCATACGATAAGATTCAGGCTCGCAATAAAGAAATTGAGCTCAATCAGATCTACAGCAGACAGTGACAAACTACCAAGATCCATGCATTCCAGCCCACCCCAAACAACATGACAAGTTCATAACACAAGTAAATGAGCAATCTTCCAAAAGTAGACTGAATAACAGACCACCATATACAAAACCCAACTCGAAATTATGAAAACCATTATCAAAGATCCAAAAATTAAGCATTAAAAAAAAAAAAACAAATGAGCAAATTACAAAGCTCAATTGCCCAAATGAATAATGAAGCACCAATGAGAAGAAAACAGAGGAATTACCTCAGTCAATGTGAGGTCTGTGTCGCTGTGCTTGGAGATACTGATAGAGATCTGACGCTGAAGAAGAGGGAGAAAGAATAGGAGCTTTGTTTTTCTTCTTCTTCCTCTGATGACCGAGAATGTAGAAGATCCAAGGCCTTATATATACGCCAAACACCAACCCCGGCCTATTATGACCCATGTAGCATTTTAAGATCCAACAACCGGGATCTGCGTGACCCGAAAACAGTAAACTTTACCCCCCTAATAATCCACGTTTTTTCAACACGTTTCATTCACCTACACACGTCATCATCATTCGTTAAACTTTAAAAAAAAGTATTTGGCAGTAAACTGTAATTTATATTATATATACCTTTTTTTAAACTACTTATCTTATAATATGGATGGATTTGTAGTACCACGTGACAGAGATTACAATCCATTATTTATATTTTCAGAAAGAAAAATGTTAGGCTTACTATATTTCTATATCACATTGTGTACTACCTTTTAACTCTAATAGATGTTGGTTCTATTGTATTAGTGGGCTCGACTACTATTAGAGATGTGATATACAATGTGGCGTAAAAATGTTGTAAACCTAACATTTCCCCTTCAGAAATTTGTTAATCATTTGCATGTCCCATGTAGTAACATAGGTATTGGGAGGGGCCACGACCACCTCATGTCTACATGTGACTCCGCCTCTACTATACACACTGTAATTGTAATTTTGGAAGTCTCGAACGGGACGAAGACGGCTAACCTTAAAATGAAACAAAAGTCATAATTTATTTATGGTATTAAAAACTGATGAGGAGAAGTATATATGAAGCCACAACAGAAAATAAATTATGGCAATTCTCATTTAATATGAAAACTTAAAAGGGGAAAGTGAACCTTTCGGGTAGGGCCAGAAGAACAAATAGATCGAGTAAAATGGAAGGCATATAATGCAAACGTTACACATGGGATGTAGCAGCAACATGGCACTGGTAGGTAGAGATCCGAACAGGAAGGAAATTATGTGCTGAATTATTTATATAATGGGTTATTTTAATGTAGACGTGCAGGACACTTTGAGTTAAGTATGTGTGAATTAAGAGAGAGTGACAGAGACGAGGAGGAGGAGAAATTGTGCTAAAATATGATTATGATCCAACAGTCTGTTTTTTTTTTGGTTGGAAATTTGGAGTAATTACTACGACAAATAGTCACTTAATTAAATGATTTTTAATAGAATTAGGCAACTAACCAATTTTTTTTTCAAGCCAATTTGAAGAACAATAGAATAGAATTGAATGCCATAATGTCGTGTTGTAATGACAACGGCGTGAAATGAATATAATTTACCAATGTGTTCAATGTCGGTGAGAAGCAAATAAGCACCAAGGATTATGGAATACAATCGGAAGATGACAATTTTTTTTTATGACAAAAGATGACAATTTTTAACTTATGTACATGAATGAAATGTTATCAGCTCGAACGTTGTCAATGTCTTCATGGTTAGGCCAATTGGCACCTTCTAAGAGATTAAAATTTGAAAGCGGCTTTGATTTTTGTCAACTTTAAGAATTGAATTCTATAGCGGTAGAAATTTGTCTCCAATAGCACACAACTTTGTCATTTCCAGTGGCTGCTAGAGATGGTGGAGTGGTGTTGTCTGAAAATGTTGCACCAGCTGCTAGCTGACTGGCAATTCAGTCAAACCTTAATTTGAGGGCAAACAACTGTGATAGCTGAATTCAACCATTCAATTATCCATCTCCTGTTCTTGAGTCTTTGCTGCCATTAAACTTTTCCTCTACTGGTGGAATTTCTATGCAGATTGGTGCTTGCAATCTCTAATGTTTCTTTTCGTAGAAGCATCCATGAGCTATGATCTCAAATCAATAAATTCAAATGCCATAATTCATGGATTAATTAAAGATGATTAATTAGTCCTTGATTGAAGCAAGCAGATTTGTTAGATAGTCGTCGTGGTATTTAATCCTCTTTTCATACTTCATTCAGAGCATCCCGAAGGGAAATGAATTGGTTATTTGCATCATCCATGCCTGTCAAAATAATGAAAAGAAGAAGATTATCTCATGATTTTTCTTATGTAGCATTGACAAACAACTATTTGGCTTTCAAAAGATTACCATTTTCAGTGATGAAGACTGGAGGGTTGCTATACTTTTGCTTGATGTAGTTCGTTAATTTTCTCATCCCCTGAGGCAGTATGTACAACCAAAAAGAATTGGCCTGCAATTTACATGAGCAGTAATCTAGTATCAAATAAGAAAGCTGGAAGTAAAACAGCAGTGCATTAATTCATGAGAGTTAGGAGCATTATATTTATCTGTTCTGTCAGATGTCTTGAAATAAAGCTGGAAAAAGAAAAATACATGATCTCCAATAGGTCTCCCGTCTTTAGTGAATGTTGAAACAAGACAAAGATCATCTTCAGTTAGCAACCAACAGTTAAACTATAACAAATTGTAACTTGACTTCCCTATCTCTAAGTTGGTGATTGCAGAAACTTTTGATATAACTGGAACACATGACAGTTAAATCAAGAGAAATATGCAGTGTGCTCAACGGTGTCATTGTCTGAAAGGTAGTCGTCTCCACTTACACCACCAGCAGCATTGCTTCTGGCGTAGTAGGTAGTGTACTGATTAATGCCCACAAAATCCAATGACCCCTTAATCAGAGTAGCCTCAGATTTGTTCAAGGTTGGCAGCCGGCTTCCAACTTTACTTTTCTTAGAGCTTGGATAATCTCCAATTACAACAAAGTGATCACACCAATTCTAGCAAATAGTTCCTTCTAAAACATAACTTGGAAGTAATGAAAGCAGATAGCTAGCTTACAGGTCTCAATTTCAACTTTGGAGTAGAAAAAGGGTTAAGGTGTGTGTATCCTGGTCAAAAAGTAAGTCTTATTCCTTCTGTGACAAGAAATACTTCTAAGAAAAAAATAGATGATCTTTTCAATAAATAAAAAAAGCCCCACGAGGGTTTTATGGTTACCAGCCCAGCTGAAAATCTTGGGCTCTTTGAGCTGCTTCAATGTCTTCTGTGGAGTTTGTTTCTGGTTCATACCACATAACATCAAATGAGGCCCCAACTGATCCATTCTGTTTTGACTGCAAAGGGACCAAGTACCGTCAGTAAACAAACTGTGACTGGAATGGCTCAATAACCTCTCTTCCTAGTTCCCAGTTCTGGTTTAGTTGAAGAAAATGAGGCGGTGTTGATTTTCCTTCATTCCATCTTACCGTATACTTTTTCCTGTAAATATTAGCCGCATTTGTGTGAGAAAGGATGATTTGGTGAGCAACTATGTAAGTCTCAGTTGAAGAATTCCCAGCCTTACAGGCACCTAAATCATATGCTTGTGTAGCAACTGTATGTGGCTCGTTGAATGTGATCCAGTGCTTCACCCTGTCACCGAAATTCTGAAAACACGTCTCTATGTATGTTGCATAGTCCTGTCTGTAATTGACTGAGGTCACATGAATAATGAATCACTTGAATAAATTAAAAAAAATCAGAAACCAAACTTATGGAAAATAGAGGTACAAAATTGTGAACATTGCTTACATGATCTGAGGGTTGAGAAACCTATTTCGCAGGGCTTGAGGAAGGTCCCAATGAAGGGTCACATATGGTTCAATACCTGCACATGCAAAATCTTGTGGTTTAAGGATAGAAAAAAAAGGAAGAAAAGTTTATGCAGTCTGAAATCAACTGCATATTTTTGTTTGAAATCAATTGCCTAATTGCTTAGATGGCAGACCTTTGGATAGCAATGCATCGATGAGACTATGGTAGTGATCAATGCCTGCCTGATTGATCTGTCCAGTTCCATCTGGTATACAAAAACCTCACAGCTAACATTCTATCATGTATTTTTGCTTCTACTCGAAACTCGTCTCGACTACGATAAAAATTAAAAATCTGGTGTGTGACACAAACAGTAACTTTTAGAACTGCTAGAGCTTACTGGGGAAAATCCGAGTCCAGGATATTGAAAACCTATAAGCATCCATTCCCATGTCCTTCATAAGTTGTACATCTTCCTGCTTTGCAAATAATTTAGCATTTTGCATTTGTTAATACCCTTGATAAAAATGTCATCATTATGTCTCTTAACAAAAGAATTCTGAGAATATATGGTTTGAGTAGGCTTGCATTATAACGGTGGTACTGATCCACAGAAATGTGTGCATTACTGAAATCAAGTATTTTTCCTGCGGCAGAATGCAAGGATTAGGGGTCACAATAATATTCACTGCATGAGAAACCCAATAATTTGAATATATAGACAGAGAAATCTGAACCCTATTCAGTTTCTAGTAAATTAATTACAACATGAATATAAAAAAGACAACAAAAAAATAATAAATTATTAGTAATAGTATGTGAAAAAGTGCCTCAGATAGAAGACCCCCTTCCATCCTCTTATGCTGACAACAATCAGAAGAAACGCAAATCATTTTATTCTAAATTAATAATAATAAATAATAGTAATTTATAGTTGTACATAGTGATGAATGATGAAGCATGTGTTTGGTTAGGTACATCATGCATGACAAACATCATCAAACTCAAAAGTATCACATGCAGTGCAAGCCCAGAAATAATCCAACCATGAACAGAAATGACAAATATGAATTAATTTATTACTGATATATAACAAGGAAAATAAGTAACATTTCTATCCATGTGAAATTAAATAGTAGTTCATTAACTTTTACTCTTAAAAAGACAGATGAAAAGAGTCATTAGATGCTAATTGGAAATGGGACTTTATTTGGAAGCTTCATGTTCCACCAAAGGTTAAGACCTTCCTCTGGCTGCTGTGTCATAAGAAGTTACTTACGAATGCTCAAAGACTAAAGAGAAAGCTCACTAATGTTGCTGGTTGTCCTAGATGTGACTGTCCTTTGGAATCTTGTGCTCATCTCTTCAAGGATTGTACTGCCTCTCTTGCGATTTGGAATAGACTTGGGTTTGGGAGAGTGGAAGCTGGTCAGTTGATGAATGATTATGATGATTGGCTGCTGCATAACTTGAAATCTAAGAGGTTTGTTGTCCATGGCCTGCCATGGTATTTGGTTTTTGCTATCTTCCTCTAGTTTATTTGGAAATGGAGATGTAAAGTGGTTTTTTATCAGAATTTTCTCTTGGATGCTGAACCTCATCTGATGATTTATCAGTTTGCTTTGGAGTGGTTTTCAGCTTGTAATCCAATGGCTATTCTCCCTAAGCGTAGTGTTGTTCATCTCCATTGGATGGCCCCTCTTCCTGGTGTTTGTAAAGTCGTGTGAAGTCAACACTGATGGTAGCAGAATTAATTCCTCTGGTCTCATTGGGGCTGGGGGTTTGTTAAGAGACTCTTGTGGGAGTTGGATCAAGGGTTTCTCTGTGAATCTGGGCTATGGTTCCATCATTGAGGCTGAGTTATGGGGGATTTTTTGGGGGCTTAATATGGCTTGGGATGCTGGATTTCGCACAGTGGAGATTGAGTGTGATGCTAACTCTGCTGTGGCTTTGTTAAAAAGTCCTATTGTGTCAACACACCCTCTCTTTAGCATTATTAATTGCTGCAAAATGAAGATTCATGAGGATTGGAGCTGCTCTGTGAAGCATATTTTTCGTGAACAAAATTGTGCTGTGGATGCTCTCGCTGCGAAGAGTTGTGATTTTGCTCCTGGTCTTCATGTGTTTCTAGAGGCTCCAGCTTTTCTTAGTGATTTGTTAGCTGCTGATGTTCGAGGTGCTGTTAGACCTCGTTTAGTTTTTGTTTAGTTTCTTTTTGGTTTGGGGTTTAGCCCTCCTCTGTACCCAAAAAAAAAAAGAGAGTCATTAGACCAACTTGGAAAGCAGAAGAGGCAGTCCCACCGAACACAAAAAAATTTCCTTGGAAAAATCTGTGACAAATTGCATGTTGGGGACCCAACAACCAATACAAAAGCTATGGCCAAACCAACGCCTGCCTGTTTTCCACACCATAACTACTTTATTCTCAATGGGAACTTGTGGCCCAAAAAAGAAAAAAAAGGAACTTGTCAATGGGTTGGTTGGTTATATAAAGACAGAGAAAGAAAGTGGTCAGCTTTCTAATCTGTACTTAATTAGAGTACTGAGACTGGGAATTAATGAAAAGATGGGATGAATTGAAGAAACACAGTGAGAGACACCGAAACAAATGCCAAGTGTTTTTTGTTTGGTGGCGAGACAATATGAAATGGGTAGTTAAGACCAAAAGTGGGGCTCTATATATAAAGGTTGGTTTCCTCTTGGTCCTTGTCATTGCTTTTATAAATGAATCATCCAGGAATGGAAATGGATTGCTTTACGTACCAGCTTTTCTGTGTTATGCAATGTATATTGTGTGCTTTAGTCACATTTTCTGCTGTTTCCTTTTTCAAGTATTATGATTCCTCAAAGCCTAGTACTTAAGGCTGGACTGTAAATATAATAAGCAAAGACACTAAATAGCTGCCTTATAATTTGAAGGCAAACAGTTTTGGTAGCTCGAACAGATAATATATAGCTGAATTCAACCATTCCATTATCACTTAATATTTTCTGCTATCAAACTATTCTTAATGGTGGAATTTGGAGCAGATTGATGTCATCTCTCGTAGAGTAATACACCAATCTGTTTCTTCAAACATTAAAGCAGACAGTAAAATATCAGTAACTCTTAAAAAGCTTGTGATTTTGAACCAAGTTTCTCTTTTGATATAATCATAATGTTGCTTTTCTTCCAAGTATCTGTAGACAATCTATGATCTCAATCAATGCATTTAAAACACTGTTTGTGATGGCTTGCTCGATCCCGGAAGAACATGAAGGGCAACAATCCTTGTGTATTTGATGAGTTGTGGACTATGTGGTGTAAAATGTAAGTGTAGAAATTCGGCACGTAGCATCAATGTTTATCACCTAACTTAAGTAGAAGTCAAGAAGTTCGTGAACCACTGAACAGAGTCCTTGGGGTATCTCTTGAGCTTGTCCTTATAATCAACAAAGTAGAGGCCAAATCTAGAAGAGAATCCTGCAGCCCACTCCCAATTATCCAGCAGAGACCATGCAAAATAACCTTTCACATTGCAGCCATCTTCTCTGCATTTAACCAAAACAGAACAATATATATCAGCTTCTAGACCTCAAATTTAATTCATGGATTAAGTAAAGATGGTTAATACTTGATTGAAGCTAGCAAATTTGTTAGATAGCCATGGTGGTATTTGATCCTTTTCTCATCCTTTAGAGCATCCTTAAGGGAAATGAATGGGCTATTTGGGTCATCCATGCCTGTAAAAATAATGAATAAAAAAAGAAGATTAGCTCATGGAAATGAACTCCTTTTTGTTTTCCTTCCCTTCCATTTGGCTCTAAAAAGATTACCATTTTCAGTGATAATGACTGGAGGGTTGCCATACTTGTGCTTGATGTAGTTCATTAATTTTCTCATCCCCTCAGGCACTATGTATAACCATATAGAATTAGCCTGCAATTTTACATGAGCAAAATAATGTAGGATTAGGTGTAAAAAAGATAAGAACAGTGCAGTAATTTATGAGCGTTTAAGCCTCATCTTTTATCTGATCTATCAGATTCCATCAAGTCCAGAAATGATGGTGGAAAAAGAAAAAAATAAACATAATTGCATGTGTAACTATACAACATACCCTATCTCCAATAGGTTTCCCGTTTTTGAATGCTGAAAACAAGGAAAACAAAAGATATCTTCAGCTAGCAGCAAACAGTTGAAGAATAGCACGTTACAAAACTTCAACAAATTGGAATTTGACTTCCCTATCTCTACATTGGTGATTCCAATAACTTATCAAATAGCTGGAAACATAAAGCAGTTCAATTAAGAGAAATGTTTAAGTTGGTTCAATGCGAACTTACGAAGGGTAATAGCACCAGAATCTGCAAGGCTGTCATTGAGCAGACCTCCAATAAAATCAGTAGTATCGTTTCTCGCATAGAAGGTAGTGTAATGATTAATTCCCACAAAATCCAATGACCCCTTAATTAGAGCAGCCTCAGATTTGGAAAAGGTTGGCAGCCGGCTTCCAACTCTACTTCTCATAGAACTTGGATAATCCCCAAAAATAAACGGCTCAAGAAACCTGCGATTCGAACAAAGTGATTACACAAACTTTAGGACATTTCCTTCTAAAATATAACTTAGGAAGTAATGAAACCAATGTAAGCTTACCAGCCAAGCTGAAAATCTTGGGCTCTTTTGGCTGCTTCGACATCTGCTGTGGAGTTTGTTTCTGGTTCATACCAGATAACATCAAATGATGCTCCAACTGATCCATGCTGTTTTGACTGCAAAAGAACCAAGTAGTATCAGCAACCAACTTCTGTTTGTTCAAGAGAATGAGGTGCTTTCTTACCTTGTACTTGCTCCTGTAAATATCAGCCACAGTTGCATGAGAAAGGATGACATTGTGACCAACTATGTAAGGCTCAGTGGCAGAGTTTCCAGCCCTGCAGAAAAGGTGAAGCAAGATAGAGCACCTTCCTGGTGCCTCGAGACCTACATCATATCCTTGTATAGAAAATGTGTGCGGCTCATTGAATGTGATCCAGTGCTTCACCCTGTCACCGAATTTTTGGAAGCATGTGTCTGCGTACGTTGCAAAGTCCTTTCTGCAATTGAGTAAGGGTCATATATATATGTATCAATTGAATCGAAAGTTATTGGTAATCAAACTTACAAAAATTAGAGGTACAAAATTGTGAACATTGTTTACATGATCTGAGGGTTGAGCCATCCATTATATTTGTCTTCCAAGGCTTGAGGAAGGTCCCAGTGATAGAGGGTCACATATGGTTCAATTCCTGCACATGAACAAATGCATTGAATTACTTATCAGTCAGTCTGATGGCTTGATGCTTGCCTATATATGAAACTTTGGAGAATGATGAAAATGTAAAAGGTACCTTTGGCTAGCAAAGCATTGATGAGCTTATTGTAGTGATCAACACCTGCCTGATTGATTTGCCCAGTTCCATCTGATATATGAAAAGCTCACCTCACAGTTAAGATATTTGAATCTTGTATGTGAGAAGAAAAAAAGCATGAACTTTTAGAAGAACTGATAGAGCTTACTGGGGAAAATCCGGGACCAGGATATTGAAAACCTATAAGCATCCATTCCCATGTCCTTCATAAGTTGTACATCTCCCTGTTTGCAGATAATTCAACATTTGCAAAATAGAAACCACAAATTAAAGACATCATTATGTCTCTTTACCAAAAAAAATATATATAATAATAAAGATCATAGTTTGAATAGGTACTTAATTACATTGTAAAGGTGATACTGATCCACAGCAACATCTGCGTTACTGAAATCAGATATTTTACCTGCGCGTCAACATGATGCAAGAGAAGATGAGAGGGAGCATAAGTTGATAACAATTGTGATTCATAAAAAATATTTATAAAAAAAACAATAAAATATGAAATTATTACCAAAAGTATGTGAAAAGATGTCCCAGGTGGACGGCCCCCTTCCGTCCTCTTTTACTGCACCTTCATACTGACAAAAAATCACACGAAAACGTAAATCATTTTTATTCTTATTAATCATTTTTGTTTTCATACTAATCCTCAGGTAATTTTTGTATCATATTATAAATAAATAAATAATATTTGGTACATAACTTGTTATGGTTGATGAACCCCTCTACCTTTTAAGGATTATTGTGATGAATATGGCAACCATGCCATGCATCATGTGTTTGTTTTGGTACATGCGTATCATGCATTCGAAACAACCCACTAAAATTTCAAAACCCATAAACTTAAAAAACCTGGAATAAGTACACTTTCATTATAATAGTAAAAGACAGAGAATGGTGGAACATTCAAATACTAAGAAATGTCATTGGTTAATTCAAACATTAAAAATTGAAATTATTAATTAAATAAGGATAATATGATAAATTCACATTTTTTCATATTAAAAAAATTAAAATTAAAAACAAAATAAGATAATAAGTCCTACTTTTCTTAATTCTAAAAATAAAAATAAAAATAAAAAATAAAAAACAAAACCAATTAACATGTGCCAAGGGGCTAGTAAGAATTTAAGGAAGAACAGATTTGAAGAAAATATATCTTCATCGTTAATCACTTTCATTTTAATTAACTACGAAATTAACAATATATTTAAGTAACTTATAGTTCAAACCTTCTTAACATACTAACAAGCATTTTTATTTTCTGTTGACAATATATTTTTTATTTTATGTATTTGAGTTTGGTATACAGGAATAACTAGTAACGAAAACTGTCCACTGAATTCGGCTTGCAAATACCCATTCAACTAGGATGCAGAATAACAAAATGATAAGAAGAAGAAGAAAAAAAATCTAAGCATTTCCATTCTGAAATTAGAATTCATTGGTCTTCTAGGTTTCGAAGAACACAATTACATCAACACGACATTCTATCTTCACGTGAATCAGCAGTGACCTTACAGTTTGAGTTAAGTCTACGAAGAAACAGCAACACGACAAGAAAACAGCAACCTCAAACTCAACAATGCAAGCCAAGAAATCCAACAGCTGAAATCAAATTTCTGATAACCGGGATGTGAATTAAGTTGTAGTTTTAATTTTGAATTAAAAAAAGAGAGGATAAAATAGTCATGAAAGATAAAGAAGAAACCTGGAAAGCAGAAGATGCGGTACCAAAGACAAAACGTTTTGGAAAGCTGGCCCTGTTGATATCGTCTGAGGATTCTGACAAAGTACATGTTGGGAAGAAGAACCCAAGAACCAATACAACTGCAGCTGCTATTCCCAAAACCATACCAATGCCTCCTCTCCTTTCCAACTCCATAACTACTCCTCCTCCTCAAATGGTGGCAGAAAGACTAAAGAAGAAAGAGATTAGCTTCTTCTAATCCCTACTTAAATTCTTAAGTAGAACGAGCGAGAGTATAGAAGAAAAAAAGGGAGCTATTTATGCATGAAACAATTCCTCCAATTTGTTGAGATAGTGAGAGATAGGAAGAGTCATATATATATATATATATATATAGAGAGAGAGAGAGAGAGAGAAGCGATTATATTTGTAGTGAGACAATGTGAAATGGGTAGTTGGTGTTGAGTTGAGATACAGAAAAGGGCATATAAAAAGTGGTGCTTTGCGTTGTGTGTGGTTTTAATGGGGAGTGGTGGCAAACAAATATAAAGTCCTGGGTTCACACGTTTTCATACCGGAAGAATAAGCAAAAGCATAAATGGTGTATCTCCATATGAGATTTGAGATTTTGATTGCTTTTCTGAATTCTATATATTTCTTTTTTTGGTACTTAGTTGAATGTGAGTGACCTCGTCGGATTGGTCATTGCCATTGCTTTTATCAATCATCCTGGAATGGGATGATGGATGATGGATTGCTTTGCTTTCCAGCCTTGTTTTGGAATGTGTATAATAATATTAATTAATTAATTGTCTGCTCTCTAATCACGCCTTTTCCTTTGTTTTATTCATTAATTCTTCAGACCTTTTCGTCACCCGATCATAGTGCTTCAGTTGAGGAATCAATCAGACCTTTTCGACCTCTGCCACATAGCGTGGATAATGCATTTGAGAGGCAAATAAATTACAGTGGACTATAAAATATAATAATAAAAAGCAAATATATTCGGCTTCAGTAAATATAACCAAGACAACACATGATCTCACTCGATCTACATACTTTTTTAGTACAAAATAAAATATGAACGCTGGCAAATCCCCTTTTCAACCGATTTCCGAACAGGAATGGAAAATATTCAAAATTTGTTTGCGTGACACTTGAGCTGAGGAGTTGAGACCAACCAGGTTTTTATTTTTGTTTTGTTAGTCCATACCTTTTTGGTAAGAAAGACAAAACGGCCGGGTTTTGCCATTGCCTTTTTATGATGCTGTTTTCCTAATTTCGTCATGTATGGTATGGCATTATGCATGGATGAATACGGCTCAGGTAGCGTTTGAGATTGCTGCACTTAAAAAAAAAGCAACTTTCCAAAGTATTTTTTGCAATCAACGACTCATGTGCCAACTTCCATCTTTAACTCCGTAGAGTGTGGATTATGTAACACAATAGTGGATTTAATTTGACAAAGACGCACTTTGGCATTTGGGTCTAAGTCTTATTGGGTTTAATCGTCCCCAACCAGATGACAAATTATCTCACATCAAACGACAATAACCTTACTGTCGTTTATTTGATTGCTTCATTTCCCTTTGCAGTTGGTTTCAAGAATGTTTGATTATTTTAAGCTTTACTGTTACTTAATTATGAATGTCCTGTCGAGAATGAATTGAGGAGAATTTTGGAATGTGTTGTCGTCAACTTTGATGTGCAAAAGTCATTTCAACTTTGAAGCGATGTAACCGGCGGGTCGGTGACGAATTCATGTCCTCATTTGGTTTACTTTCTATATATGCAAATAATTAAGGCAATTTTGATTTCATTCTTTACTATAAAAAAAGAAGATATTCTCAACATTTATCTTTACAATTAACGAAAAATACTATATTGGCCTTAATTTGTTGATAATCGAAACTAATAATGAACCGTGCACGACCTTATTTTCATTCTCTATATAATTTATAGATGTATTTATTTTTCATAAACACGCGAAAGTAATTAAAAAATTAGTATGTAGCAAAACTTCTACACCCTTTGTTTTTGTGTTTTTTGTTTTTTTTTTAACAACAAGAACATCAACTGATTATATGAACCAAACACGAACAATAATGTCAATCTAATTAGATAGTTTTTGTGATTAACGAAGTTAAACATGATAGAACCATTACCTCTAACATGAACTTGAAAATGTAAACACCTTCATAATTCTATGTGTCTGTGTGTTTTTTTAATTACTTTTGTAACGATAAGAAATTTTGTTGAATTTAGACTATCGTTTATATTTAAAAAATTACAATCTTTCTTTTAGAGCTTCTATTTAGACAGTTTTTCATTGGTTAAGAGGCTGGACCAAGCCCAACAAGAAAGTAAAAACTACACAAACCATTAAGCCCATAATAGACGAAGAAGTAGAAAGCCTAATTAAGAAGGCCCAAACTAAGACCATGGCTCAGAACAAAGGTCCAGATGGTCAGCACGAACTCCTGTAGACCTAAACCGGAAACTTGGCGGGGATTGGAAACATGGAAGACGACGAAGAAGCTCCACCTCTCGCTGTTGAAATTGACCAACCCACGGAACCCTACCCTCAGCAGCAATCCAATTCGAGCGGCCACAAAGACGGTGACGCGCCCGTCGGCGTCACCGTCATCACTGGCTATCTCGGTGCGGGCAAATCCACTGTAAGCTCAACTCTGTTTTAGCTTATGTTTTCCACTGAAGTTTCCGTTTTTGGAAAATATAAGAGCTTTGAGTATCTTTTACTGGTTTGTGATGCTCAGCTGGTTAATCATATAATAAATTCTCAACACGGGAAGAGAATTGCTGTCATATTAAACGAGTTCGGTGAGGAAATTGGTGTAGAAAGAGCTATGATAAACGAAGGAGATGGGGGTGCGCTTGTTGAAGAGTGGGTTGAGTTAGCAAATGGGTGTATATGTTGCAATGTCAAGCACAGTTTAGTGCAAGCACTGGAGCAACTTGTTCAAAGAAAAGAAAGGTTTTCAGAACCATAGTGAAATTTGTTTGTTATATTGGAATTAATTAATTAGTTTTTAAAATTGGGATTATGGTGATGATGACAATGAGATGGGGTTATTGGTTTCTTTGGTTGTAGACTTGATCATATATTGCTGGAGACTACTGGGTTAGCCAACCCGGCTCCGCTTGCTTCGGTTCTGTGGTTGGATGATCAGCTAGAATCGTCTGTCAAGCTTGATTCAATTATCACTGTAAGTTCTGATATGATGTTACGATTTTTTTTTTCTAATTGTTGGCATAATTTTTTCTATTTGCGTCAATATGTTTAGTTACTTTGCATGCCACAGATGTACTAAAGTTTTAGCAATTGGTTATGGGATTTTGAGTTCAAATATGTTTTCAAAGTTCCTTTTGAGTTTAAAAACTCGCCTTGCTAAATGCTTACTTAGCAGCGCCAAGTGTTGATACACATGATATGTTAGTTATGTTCTGTTGGTTCTACTGTTTTATGTATTTCAAGTATGAGCTGAGCTTGTTTGGTCCCTTCTCTAGAGTAGTTATGTGATTTATGTGTTACTATCTTAGTGGCAAAAATCATTCCTCAATGTCTTTACCAGGTCGTGGATGCCAAGAACCTCCGTTTTCAGCTCAGCGAGAATCAAAGTTCGTCGTCATTTCCTGAAGCATATCTTCAGATTGCATTTGCGGTATGGTCACTCTATTCCACTCATGACTTATGTTTGATGCAAATTGAAGACGATTTGTATAATGACATTACCAAACCTGATTTATGGTGCTGGTAATTTTATTTTTATCTGTTCTGTTCAAGTGCTCTCTCTCTCTCTCTCTCTCTCTGCATTTCGATCTTTTTATTTATATGTTGGGTTGTGTTGTGCTTGCACTTCATATCTTATGAGTTTGTCTCTCTGTTGTAGGATGTTATAATTCTTAACAAGGTTGATTTGGTTTCTCCGGAGGGTTCTGCGGATTTTCTGGAGGAACTGGAGAAGGAGATACATAGTATTAACTCACTTGCTAGTATCCTTCGTTCTGTTCGTGGTCAAGTTGACTTGTCCAATATATTGGCCTGTCGAGCCTATGATGCTACGGTTGGTCATGCTCTATTTTTGTTTACTTATATTTGTAGTTTACACTGATCTTTAAATAATATTCAACTTTTTCCTTCTCAGCATGCTACTCATTTAGAATCATTATTGGTAGAAACTCGTGCTTTGTCTACGCGAGATCTCCATGACAGTGGTGTACGAACCTTATGCATTTGTGAGCCACGGCAGGTTGATCTTGAAAAGGTATTCTGAAATAGTTATCATAGAAATTGGTTGAATCAAATATTTTTACTAATTGGTGTTGTGTTAACAACTTTCAGAAAGGTTACCATTCGTCACCTTTTATTACTGTAGACATTATTGTTAGTCTGATTATTTTATTCATCTCAGAAAATTGTCCATAGTTAAAAAACTACACTAGGCAGAGAAAACCAATATATGACTGATTTATTGATTCCTGCATCTATAACTGTGGTCCTGGAGAAATTGGATGGCTTATCTAAGAAATGTGTCACTGACCTTATACATTTGGGATGCAAATCTGGTCAGTTCAGTTCAAGCACGTTAGCAATGCTGTGTAGTAGTTGTTGTTAACTTCTCATTGTTGCAACTGTTATGAAAATTTATATATTCATATGTATCAGTCTATAATGTCTCATGGTCTTGTTTTAAAGGTTCGTTTATGGCTTGAGGAGATTCTTTGGGAGAAGAAACATGGCATGGATGTATACCGCTGTAAAGGGATTTTGAGCATTCACAATTCAAATCAATTACATACTTTGCAGGTACTGTCTAATATTAAATTATGTGTTTTCTTTTCTAGAAAAGTTTAGTCTTATGCTGCATTAGACTGGAGGTAGTGCACTTGATGCCCTAAATCAGTTCCTCCAATATCATTTCATGGTCAAGACTCAAGAATGAAGATTGTGCATAGAAAAAATCATTGATTGCCTTTTAAGTGTCTTTGAGGAAGCATGCTTAGAGGCTGAAGCATTACTAAAATAGTGATAAAACCAATTATACCAATAGCAAGGTGTCCTAGACTCTTTAGCAGGAGACACCAGGGAGACAATTATACCATGAGTTTTAAATTTATATGTATCACCAGGGAGACATTGAGGCTGCGTTTGAACTCCTAATTTGGGCCAGGAGAGCATGCCCTGGTCTGATTGTCCTTTACTTGTACAGTAAATTATTTTCAT